ATCTATCTATCTATCTATCTATCTATCTATCTATCTATCTATCTATCTATCTATCTATCTATCTATCTATCTATCTATCTATCTATCTATCTATCTATCTATCTATCTATCTGTGTGTGTGTAGACATTATATTGTTGCTATTTTTGGGTATAACTGGGACCTTGCACACAATTTCATTCCACCTAATGTACCATATGTGATGCGAATGACAATAAAGAATCTTGAACCTTTCTGAAAACTGTTGAGTGAAACAAGGCAGGCCAATCCTATGGAAGCAGGGGTGCAGATCGTGCTTCAGCACTTCCTGATGGAAGCCAGAGTATACCAAGTTCGCATACATTGTTAAATATTTCATGATAAAATAAATAAAAATGAATTTAATTAATGCTGCATTTGTTTAAATTCTAACATTTTTTTTTTCTTTTCTTCTTCTTCTTCAGGGGTCACCACAGCAAACTAAGTTGCACAAAGACTTGGTAATTGTTTTTGTGCCAGACGCCCTTCTTGACACAGACCAACAAGCTATCACAGCCCTCTGTGTGGAGCAGAGAGCTGCTATCTAGGGCAGGGGAGCAAATGATGGGGACTAGGGGCCTTACTCAGGGACCCAGATTGGGGCAAATGAGGGTGGAGACAGGTGTGGGCGTTTTACCTTTCCCACCAACATTTCGATGTTGTTGGTCCGGAGAGTTGAACCAGCGATCCTCCGATCACAGGCCCACCTTTATAGCCTCTGCACCACCACTCCCCCTAATATTCTTAAATTACTGAATTTAGTGTACAAACCAGAACCGTTATTATTGATCATAAATTGAGAATATCAAGACGCTGTCATGAAGAGAATGGTATTCAGAAACTACAGCCAGCAGGTGAAAGGAAAATCACTCCTCTAAAAACACAGCACAATGCATGAAAGATAGAAACTAATACAAATAGGCATAAAACAACACCAAATGCACAATCAAGCTTCCCAAATACCAACAAAATACCACAAACTCAAAGACTATTACATTTTCTTTATGTCTTCTAGAAACAAAGAACTGCAGGGATGGTTCACTCAATATATATTTAAATAAGAATCACTTTCAGGTGTTAAATAAAAGTTGAGTTCCATTTCCCATCAGGCTAGAAAAAGAAATGCTGTTCCAGTTTTCTGATGCACCTGTCTAAGTATAGTCTGCGTCTGAGTCATGGAAACTGTACTACGAGTAAGTTCTTGACAGCGCTCCAAGCTTTTGTCGTCACGTGTCGCAGCTGTGGCACATTGAGGAATTGGCAGGGCTGGTTCAGATCTTGACCTGACCTAGTTTTATAGATATGACATGTTGTAGGGACTGCTGGGTTATATGAAGTCTGGACTCTAAGAACTCCCCACCACTCCCCCAGCTCTCAACAGTCCCTCCCCCCTCATTTTTTTTCAATGAGTGGGTTTAATCCCTTCAATAATGTATGCAGTTGCATTAACAGACAAGCTCTACTAATTAATTTGAACACATTTCTTCAAAGAATCATCTAAATCTGGTGTGAGGCTGCGAGGATCTATCTGATTGGCCAAAGGTGTTGCTGGCTTGTGGAGAATAAGTGCATAGCACTTGGAAATGTAATAGCCCATGCCGTTCACTGCAACTGAAGCAGCCCTTTGCACCACTGCTGTTGTACACGTTGATGCTGTGGTGACAAATAAGTTTCAGTACAATAAAATGGGTTTTAAGATAAATTCTTAAAGAACTAACAGAAAAAAATCAGTTTCAGTTTCTTTAGTTTATGAAAAACACAAAAGAGGATGCAATGTGTTGTCCTTTCAGCTGCTCCCTTCTTTAGGGGTTGCCACAGCGAGGTAACTTCTACAAAGATTTGGCAATTGTTTTGTTTTTGTTTAAGCCGGATGCAGCCATAGACCACTGACCACAGCTGCAGTTCACATGTGGAGCAGAGAGCTGCCTGGAGGAGCAGATGCGGTGTGTGTGTGTGTGGGTGGGGGTAAGGGCTTTGTTCAAGGGCCCAGAATGGGGCAAATAAGGATGGAGGCAGGTATGGTTGCTTCACCTTTTCCACCCACACTTTTTGATATTATGGGGGATTTCATTCTGATCACAAGCTCACCTAACCTCTGCGCCACCACTCGCCGTTTGATAAAAAAATCATAAAATAATATTTTAGCATCAACAAGGTGATTCTAAAAGAGCTGTTGACTGAAAAAAACAAAAACTAAAGATAGGTGAATATTTCAAGAATTATGCATTTTTCAGATTCTGTGTCAGGTCTTAGTTTTTCCTATCTCAAACACACACACACACACACACACACACACACACACACACACACACA